TTTGCTCAATTATTTTGTGTTCACACATGTCTGAATGCATATTTTCGCTATACATATATGTATATAAATAAGATTTTTAAGTCACACTAAAGTCTGTTCAAACCACAACCATCAAAATGCCTAAGTATGTCGTATTTATTCAGAGAATACCTTTTTTATGCTTATGAACACGCCATTGTGATTATATTTTAAATTTAAGGGTTATTTAAAAATGGGTATTCTCTTTTTTCTTTTATCTATGATTTCACCCTTTAAACAAATTTCTGATCAGTAGTCAGTTGACCTTTTATAAATCTGTTAACCTCTATATAACCGTGTACAAACAGCGCCAGTATGATTAAAATGTTTGAAATGTGTTATACGGATGCATCACACATGTCAAGTGAATTGTATCTTCTTACTTTTATGTTAGTACTCGGCATTACTTTTTAAGTTAATATACTTGGAGATTATTCATAAATAAGGATTCTAATTGTTGAGAAGGGAAGAAACCTTGAAATAATTCAGTGGTTCTTCAAGAGGGTAGGTCATTTCATATTCCACCTGATTAGTATTCAGAAAACAATGTATTTTATACGACTCAATAGATATACTTCCCTGAAATGCATGTACGTCGATGGCACAGTAGTCATGACTCTCACTGACCATGAACACGGTCCGGGGTTGGATCTCCTGCCGACGCAAACCTGAGATCTATGAGCAGCCTGCAAAATTTGGCCTACCGATATCACATGCTGAAAATTCCATGCATGCACCAAAAAATATGGTGTGGAATCAAGCTGTAATCTAAAAACAAAAAAATTTGCTTGCAGCATTGATGATGACCTTTGATTTGAGGCCCTACAAAATCATTCATTATCAATGTAAATTTGTTATTAAGCTCTCCTGCATTTCTCAAACTATACAAGGGTTATTAGACATGGTTATTTTCTCTGAGCTGCGTGATTGTGTTGCATAGCTTACTTCTATGTGCAGTGAGATTTTGGAGATTCACTATGCATAACGTGACGATCTATTCGGATGATCATAACTGTGATTGACTGTCTCCATCAAATCTCATATCGCTGTATTATTTTTGTATTCGTATTAATTGTTTTCAAAGTTAACCATTCATTTATCTGCTCACCCAGCTCACCAGGCTCTAAGACAGAACTAGGAGTAGCGACTGTCTATGGGAAATCAGCATTTTCACGTTTACGTTTAAGTCCCAAGGGAAAGTGATAATAAAAGTTGTTTAAACTTCCCACCAGAAAACATGCCCTAGCACAATTTCATGGTTTCATCTGCATTCTCTGAAGTGACGATGTCGCTTCCCTGGAAAAGTGTTCGATCATCAGCTTAAATGAATTGTTGTCTTATTCAAGTTTTAGTTTGTAGAGGTTGGATTGATTGGTTACAGGATTTCATCATGAGATGACATTGATTATAGAACCATTGGAAAACCCGGAGTACTGGACAGCTGTTTCGTCCCAGTTAGAAACTCTTCATCAGTACGCACCCACCACCACGGTTCGAAACTAGGACCTTCTGATTACAAGACGAGCTCATAGACCATTGAGCCACTGGGACCCGATACAAAGGCTCATGAGTCCATACAAACCAATACTTCAATATGGATGAGATGCTCACCTGGGGTTCTAGTGGGAAGGCGTGACCAGTAAGGTGCAGCAGGTCTGGTGTGAGGACAAATACTCGCCGAAGACGTTGCCTAGTGGTCGCGTTATGTTATAAATTGCAGAAGTTAGAATTCATGGGCTATTGGAATGGGTCCCAGTGGCTAAGCGGTCTATCAGCTTGTTAGCCTTGTAACCAGGAGGTCTTCGGTTCGAACCCCAATGGATGCGTACTGATGAAGAGTCCCAAACTAGGATGAAACAGCTGTCCAGTGCTCCCACGTTTTCCAATGGTTCTCTAACCAATGTGATCTCATGATGAAATCCTGCAACCAGCTGTTGTCTTAGTTTCAGTTGACAGCCTGAGTTCAGTCAAATTGCACTGTTCATTCCTCCGGTATGCAGTTCACATCCCGTAATGAAAATTATTGGTTCTTCACTCCTCATAGTTTCATGATGCTTTCCTATAGATTTTTAATTAAAGTCAAAGTTTGGTACTGACCGTTTATTATTGACTGCTTCACAATGAAATAAAGCCAGTTATCAAGGTTGAAATGGGACACTCATTTCTAGTTTGACAGATATTCTATTCCGGTGCTAGAAACGACTACATGGCTTCATGCAGTTATCAAAAAGATTATTGCATTCTCAGCTAAAATTATCCACACCGAATCAATAATCAATGACCATGAATATTTACCCATAAACATTTTATCACTTGTTTTCTGTGTCTAGATATATGACGTTGATACTCTTTTTTTACACCTTACTCGTTTTATCTACTTGCCTGGATATTTAACGTTACACGTAGACGATATATCCTTGAAAGACAAATAAATTGAACCTAACACCCTAGATAATAGAAATGTTCACCCAATGAAGCTTTCGGTCTTTTCGCTTGACAATGAATTAGATGTAAAATTTTATAATGTGTTCAGTGTACCGTTATTGCGGAAACTATTAGGTTTTTCATGATGAAGTAAGGGGTTTCACAACTTATATATATATATATATATATATATATACTTGTATCACTGTGTTTCATGCAATCAGCAGGTAAATACCGATCATGATCTCAATGACTGTATGCTGGTATTGTATGAGTTTGAGAAATGTAAACCTTGCTACGTTTCAATTCATGGATAATCCCCATCCAGGCATTAATGAAAACAAAACACGTAGTTCAACGAAGAGTCTCTTTTCGGCGCCGAATTCATTTCCTTAGCTGTATGTGTTATTTTGAACGTATGTGTACATTAGGTTGTCAAACAACAATACAACTGGTTATGGTTATTTTAACTAGACAGGTGAAGATTGGTAATTGGAGTTACGTAATGCGAAAATCAGTCAAGAAAATTAGGTGTTAATGAAATTAGGGTAGTGACAAAGGTAGGTTATGAGTTGTCACAAACAGTTGTTAAAAAGGAGTTACGTGATTATATGAATATTTTGATGATTGAGTTTTAATCACGATACACAAAGGAACAAAGTAGATAAAATGAAATTACGTAAAAGTTCTAAATGATTGAAAGAATTATAAGCAATTAAAGAACAGGGAAACAAATAAAACTAAGTCATCAGAATCAAATACGGTTTCGTCTTCTTTGTATTGCTGAAGCTCTTGCCATTCACATAGAAAAACCGGAGTTGCACATACAAAAAAGGATTATTCAACCACTTCTACTGTCGTGGTAACAACCTTTTTTTATTTTGATTACTTAATTTTGTTTGTTTGCCTGTTCTTTAATTGCTTATAGTTGTTGTATTCATTTAGAACCTTTACGCAACTTCGTATTCTCTACTTTGTTCCTATGTGTATCCTGAGTAAAACTCACTCATCAAAATATTCATATAATCACGTAACTCCTTTTTAACAACTGTTTGTGACAACTCATAACCTACCTTTGTCACTACCCTAATTTCATTAACACCTAATTTTCTTGACTGATTTTCGCATTACGTAACTCCAATTACCAATCTTCACCTGTCTAGTTAAAATAACCATAACCAGTTGTATTGTTGTTTGACAAACTTAATGTACACATACATACAAAATAACACATACATATTTGCGATTTTACAGCTAACGAAATGAATTCGGCGCCGAAAAGAGACTCTTCGCTGAACTACGTGTTTTGTTTTCATAAATATAAACCTGTTTGAGAAATGAACTTGAATATGTGGCTTGAATTACATCATCCTAGGCAACGTAGTTGTTCAATATGGTTCAGAGACGAGGCACATCACCAAAAGCATTTCTGACAGGCTATAAGCTTTTATCAACATCTGTCTTCGCTTCATCCAGAAGATTAGATGGTCAAAAAGGAATGGTAAAAAAGAAACTCTGAAGAATAATCAAATACGAACCCATTATCCAGAGAATACGACGAAGTAAACAGGAGATAGATCAGATGCACACTGAGGAGACAGTTGAATGGTATTGCTCGCCAGGCCATCACTGGAGTGAAATCCGAATTGGAAAGGATGAGTGGGGCTTTCAAGGTTGACGTGGAGAAGAAGATGGAAGCTTATATGAATCAGATAAAGTGACTAAAGAGAAGAGGATAAAATGGAGATGTGCCTTGAGTTTTACTCGAAACCTGAAAGAATAATAATAATAAGCAACTTAATAGCCATATTTCAGAAGACGTTTCAATCAAATCGTCTTTATCGCTTTTAATAATTAGCACTTATAAACATTACAGTTTTCTATAGTTTGGTTTGTAAGGGTTAGTTATGTTTTTACTAGTTAATCTCGAATTGATATCGGTTGGGGTCGCGCTAAATCACAAATTAGTAGAAGTTAGAATTCATGAACAGGCCGCTGAATCGGGTCCCAATGTCTGAATCGTATACGAGCCAGCTTGCTTTGTAACCGGAAGGTCTTGCTTTCGAACCTCACTGCGGTGGGTGCGTACTTCCGATGATTCCCAAACTACGATGAAACAGCTGTCTAGCAGTACTCCCTGGTTTTAAATGGTTATCTAACTGATATGGATCCGTGATCAACTCGTAAAAAGCATTACAGTTACTAAAAATTCCGGTATTCTGACAGATATAGATAGTTATTCAAAGGCACTGAGTTTTTCTATGTCGCGATTTCCTCACAATGTCTCTTGACAATATAAAAATTTGTGTATATGCATATATATTTCAATAATATCCTAAATACTTGGCGACATTGCTTGGACTAATACGTAAACCTACTATCTAACATCACCAAACCGTTTTCATGTCGATAAAAATCAATACTAATTATCCTTTTTTCTGTTAACAGCACTTATTAAACATTGGTATATATTACTAATTCAGAATTATTTATGCTTATGAAATGTAATTCATGTTAGACATAATTTCATTCCTTTTTCTTTTCTACATTTTAATCAGGTAAACCTCTTCACTGTTGGGTACCACAGGAATTCACGAGTTCATGGGAAGATTATGCAGAAAATATCTGTTGGGTACAGAATACTTATTTTTTACTACCAAATGAAGCTATACCAGAAGATGATTTTGAAATGCTCAGGGTACGACATATTTCCTATTATCAATGGGTAGCTATTGTTCTGGCTGGTCAAGCTATGATGGCATGGGTGCCACATGTATTATGGCGTGTTTGGTCTAAACGCGTACCAGTATTACTAAGAAATGCCCGTGAAGCTGCTATTCCAGATAAAGAAGTTCGACATAAAGCGATTAGTTGTCTTGTTGCTGCTTTAGAAGAAATCTCTGAGGCATCAAAACGCTATCGACGTGCTCGAGGAGTATTTCATCGTTGTTTAGGTGGTGCACCGCCAACTACACGTATCACTCTATTATTTCTAGCTGTACGTATATTTTTTATCGTTAACAATGTTGGACAAATTTATGTTATGAAGCATTTCATTGGAACTAATGATACACTATTTGGTTTACATGTATTCCAAGAATTACTTGTTGGTAGTGAATGGGAAATTAGTGGTTTATTTCCACGTGTAACATATTGTGATGTGAAGGTCAGGAAATTAGGACAATTAAAACCTGCATCGTAAGTTCGTCAAGTTTGTTTTATTTAATCTTATTTCTAATTTTTAACGAAAATGGTATCTTTTATATTTTGTAACTCTTGTTGTTGTAATGAATAAAACGAAGGAAATTACGCGAAACTTGAATGATTCTGAAAAATACGGTAACTCAAAAAGTTGGTTTCCTAAGACTAGTAACAAGCACTTAAAGATTTCATCTACTACTGTGTTTCATTGCACATAACCATCATAATTTAGGCAATCAGTGCATTTTTTGAGTTTCCCTAAATGCAGGTGGTCATTAGATTGCTTTTTTTATAAAATGACTTGACCATCATGAATAATGTTCTGCCTTCTGATGATATCAGATGGTTGGAGGCGATCGGTGAGAAGCTTTGGACCTAGGTGTCGTGCTAGTTGGCACTCATCAGTAATGCTCAGTGGTACGTCACTGACTGAAGCACTGAGTGACGCTAGATCAAATCTCAGAGGAGACATGAGTTCCTTCAGGTTTGCAGATACGCCTTTCTGACAGGTGAGTGCCAACTAGCACGAAACCTCGGTTCAAGGCTTCCTACGATTGCCTCCAACCATCTAATATTATCAGATCAATGTGCACCGTGATGTTGAGCTACCTAGAATGTTGGCCACACTGCAAACTTGGCTAACAGAATTCAGTCTGTACCAAACAGAGGACTAGACACATCACACTAGTTACTATTGTCCAATCAAAGTATTCTCCCTTATTATTACTGGGCTAAAAGGCAGACTGTATAATCACAACCAGCTGTTTATTCATTCCTAATGTTGTTCACTGCTTGACATTCATCTTGAGTGCATATATCAGACTTTATTATACGAATATGACCATCAAATTTTTTTGAACGTAATTCGTTTAACTACTTAAAATGTATTACATATTTTTCCTTTGGTTTAAGAATGGTATAAACGTTCTTTTCGCCAAAGCCTCTTCAGTATATCCAGTATACGTGTATTTTAAAGGTTAGAATACAATTATAGTCAAAAGTTACTTTGAAACTTTTGAAGAGTTAAGTAAATAAATTTTCTAAACAGCATTACATCATTAAGATAAAGGTATCAATTGATTAGGTGAACGTATACTCTTTTTGCGATAATCGTTCCGAGTATAAGGTTTCCTCGAATATTATCGTTCATTAAGTAAGGTTAACAGAAGCTAACCAAAGATGAATAATAATAATGATAATAAAAGTCTTTTTTGAGTTCGTAAGAAATGCAACTAGAAATTCCCCTCACTCTCACTGAAACTGTGTGGGTTTTACAAATACTCTGTAGATTTTCATTAGGTTGGACGTTGTTTTAGTGTGATATGCTATGATATTTCAATGAAAGTTGTGTTTCGTCATTTATGTCTTTGGATTAAAATCACTGAAGCCATCTATCCCTTATTGTGAGTTATCCTTTTTTCGAAAGAGTTTATTATCTGTGATATATGTATACAGCTTGGACATTAGTAGTATGCGATTTCGAATTAATTTATTTATGGAACGTCATACGCTGAAGCAGTATCACCTACTGGATGATGTTTTGAACACAATTTATTACTCATGTGTTCATGTTAAATGCAATTATAGAAGTTCGACACTCGGTTTTTACAATTTCCGTTCTCATGTCGTAAAGGAATGCTGACTACACCATGTATCTTAGTGAGGTTACTTATTTTGTGCATTGAGTTAAATTACATGCAGTCACCCAGAAACTGCTTTATTTGCCGTTTGAAGTTCGATATGTAGCTCTACATTTTGATCATACTGATGTTTTCATTTCTTTATACGGTCTTACTTATTTATGAGCATCAACCTTTCCCAAATAGTCTGATTTTTCCAATAACAATATTGATTCGACTTAATTTGATCCAGCAATTACTATGAATTCATCATTTCCAAAATTTCGTTAGGTTATGCTTTCTTCTCTTCTTATTTTGTATCACTTAAAAAGGGGAAATATCTGAGATGTAGTCAGCCTATGTTGATGGAGGTAAATTACTTTAGCGACAAAATAAAGAATCCAGATGTGGTTTTTATGGTTTACTACCAAGTTACCTGAGTAGAAATTCATCTAGCTCCGTCTATTGTGAAGTTTCACTTGAAAATATTTTCAAGAACTAAGGTAAAAACGTTACAAATCAATCACCTGAACCGAAGAAAAGAACAATAATTGTTTAGAGAATTAAATGCGTTGATTATCTATAAAATGTTTCCAGTCGTTATCTTCAAAGAGCAACATCTGGTGGCTTATACTTTCTCAAACTCCATTCTTTTGGACTCTTATTTTCTTGAATTTAATAACTAATACTTAACATTTCTATTTGCTGGTTATTAAGAAATCGGATTTAGGCCTGCTCTTACTGTTACCTCAATACACAACAATATACGACTGAACCCCTTGACACTATTCCCATACTGAGATGAAACGGAGGACTGATTTACTAGGCAAAGATTTATTTTTCCATGAAAAGAAGCACTCTCACTGGAAATCTCAGCTAACTAAACAATTATTTCACATTATGCGATTTATTTACCAACAGAAATTCTCTGACTGGAGTTTTAATCTACATTATTGTTGAGTGTTCAGCTGGATAGGAATAACTGACTCATTAATATGCTGCGAAATATAAAGTAGATCTTTTGATTTCCAGTAAACAGTTTTATTTTGGAAGTGAGAAACAGCCTCATTCGAGAAGCTTATAGGTTCGAATAAAGTGATTAGGAATTTATTTAAATTATTTTGTATCTTCCACTGACCAAATCTAATGATTACTCTTCGTTAACACGTCAGCTCTGATAATTCGACGGTGTTTGAGGGTTTGCAGGTGAAAAAGGTGGCAGTCACCATCGGCTTAATAACATCATGTTAATCCTGTGTTATAGCCAAGATATCAGCGGACACTGAGTATACTGGTCTAACGTAATTAATCAATGGGGAAGAGAAAATAACTCAAAGAAATAACAGTTAATACCGGCTGCACAATTAGTGGTTCACATGGCTCACTGGCCTAGAGAATAACGCTTTGGCATTTGAAACGATGGGTACTGGCTTTGAGTTTCCATAGGAACAGCCGTACTCCACTGAGGAGCTAGGCACATCCATATAAAACGAAAGATGCTAGCAGCAAGATGAATAACATCGTAATGGCTGTCACCTACATTTTAATGATAACACTATGTCTCAATGAATTATCATTTTGTATTTTTGAAAATCCAAGAAGTGCTACCAATATGAATAATAATTATTATTATTCCCTTGGGTCTCGAGTCGAACATAGGGCCTCAGCATCACATCTCAGTTGTTCTATCTTCTGCCATCCTCTTCAGTTGGCTGACCGTACGATTGCCCGTTACCTCGCATCTCATCTTCACCTCACGACATCTTCCATTTCACTTTCGCAGTGACAACCCATTCGTCGCTTCCCATATAGATTACTCTCGAGGGCCTGAAGTGCGATGTCACTTGATGGTCTGCTCAATATATGCACGATCCATCTCCATTTTCTCCTACATATTTGTTCAGCGATAGGTTATTGATTTGCTTGTTCCCATAGTTTCCCGTTACGGACGGCTTTTTGATCTTCAGTATGGAGCCAGCGAAGTGGGCAGCTGTTGATAAAAGTCTCCAACTTGTTGAAAATTCTTTACGTGACACTCTGTAATTTTGACTTGGCATTAGTGGCATGCAGTTTTGGGCGTGCTGTTGGTGGTGGTGGTGTATTTCTGGCGAGCTGCAAGTGATTGTTATACATTGTACGGACGTTTCACATCCTCTTCCTTATCCTTGCTTTCATCGAGAGAAGACCCATCGACTGACTGACCGGCTTTCCGAAGGCTGGCTTTCATCAGCCCATCATGTTATTTCACCTCTCCGATTCCAGAGAAGGATAAGACTGTCATTTGAATTTTTTGTATTTTTGATATATTTTTTGAACGTTGAAGTTTCTGTAGAATTCTGATAGGTTTTGAGGTGTAGGGTCGCTAGCTCCAATGGAATGCAAAGTGTACTTCGTTCGATAGTAGCCATAGTTACCTCACGATATGATTATAAGTAGATAAATGGAATAATCACTTTTACCGACGTATTATTCGATTAATTTGCTTTATACACGACACAAAGTACGTTGAACTGCTAAGTCATTCATTAAAGAGTACTTAAATATACAATTGGTGGATGGTGGCTAGCCACTGCTAGCCACCATCCACCAATTGTATACTAACTAAATGCCCAGACATCGTCGAAGCATCTGCACAAGAAGCCGACATGTCAACCTGAGACCGAGCACTTCGGTCCTATCAATCGACGGGAAAATCAAAAAATTAAATTCAATAAGTACTTAAATAAGCGATTTACACTGAGTTTGAATACTTTTGCCCATCATGACGGTTTTGGGATCCATTTAGATGAAACTGAAGCATTTAATGAACTTCTGTATTCTTCAATTTTAGTAGCTACACTAAAATGTCTCCTTGGCAAATCCACAAAAGGTTTGATCATGAGCTGAGATCAGTAAGAGAACCACTGAAAAACCTGGGAGTAGGGGATATCTGTTTCATCCTGACTTGAGGCTCTTCAGCAGTACACAGCCACCAAGCTTCAAACCCAGGACTTTCAGGTTACACTGTGTGCTAGCAGACCATTTAGCCACTGGGACGCGATTTAGTAGTCCATGAATGTCAACTTCTCCCACTGCGCGATATATATAGCGCAGCCGCCAGCCAACGATATAGGTAAGGTACTGATCTTTTATTTGACTTAGGAGAACCAGCTGGTTATGGTTTCATACTAGAATTCCAAGCAATTTACTGTATTCAGCCAGTCACTAGGGTACATTGGATTAATTATCAAGTGTTTATTTGCAGGAATTTGATTGGTTACCGATTCGATCACGAGTCAACATCAGATCGGAAATAATTTTAAAAGCCGGATTTACTAGGACTAAACAGCTGTCCAGTAATCCCAGGTTTTCTAGTGGTTCACTTAGTGATTGCAACTC